AAAACAAAAATAAAAACAAGATTTTGGGTCAGTAGGTTCTGAAGGACCTTGACTTTGGGTTCTCCATTATAGGGTTAGAAGTAGGAAGACTTGATGGTTCAATACTCCCAGTTAAAAGAAGTTAAGTTTTCCTTTCAACACAACCGTTTTTTTTCCATTATGAAACACACTGCATTCTGCAACAAGTGACATTGGAGCAGTAAAAATAAATTTAAAATTGGGAGAGGCATTATGCACCGTAACACCCTGACATAACATTCAACTTGGCTGGTATTGTTTCTTGGCAAGATTTTTGTGGATTCTTATGGCATCATAATATGGATCCTATCATTCATCCCTGCTTAAAAATCAGTTAATGTTGATAAGTATTTAATTGTGTCTGGGTGTTCTTCTTTTTCTTATGGTATGGTAGGAGAGGTTGGGTCACTTCTGCCTGATCCCCTGGACTTGGGAGTACAGGTAATCCTTGACTTATGACCTCAGTTGAGCCCAAAATTTATGTTGCTAAGCTTTGTTAAGTGAGTTTTGCCCCATTTTTTACAACTTTCCTTTGCCACAGTTATTAGGTCAGTAACATAGTCGTTAAGTGAATCTGGCTTCCCCATTGACTTTGCTTGTCAGAAGTCACAAAAGGTGATTACATGACACCAGGATACTGCGACCATCATAAATAAGAATCAGTTGCCAAACTGGCTGAATTTCAATCACATGACCAGGGGGATGCGGCAAAGGTTATAAGTCACTTTTTCCATGCCATCGTAATTTCAAACTGTCACTAAATGAACCATGGCAAGACAAGACCTGTATAGCCTCCTAGTCTACAAATTGGTTGTATAGGCTGACTAGCCAGAAAAAAACATTTATGGCTTGCTTTAATTTTGGTCGCCATACTACAAAAAAGATGTTAAGACTTTGGAAAAAGTGCAGAGAAGAGCAACTAAAATGATTGAAGGCTTGGAGATTAAAACATGAAGAACGGCTGCAGGATTTGGGTTTGGCTAGTCTAAAGAAAAGAAGAATTAGGGAGGACATGATTGCAGTGTTCCAGTACTTGAGGGGCTGCCACAAAGAAGAGCGGGGTGTGTGTGTGTGTGTTAACTTATTCTCCGCAGCATCACAAGGCAGGACAAGAAACAACGGGTGGAAATTAAGGAGAGAAGCAGCCTGGAATTAAGGAGGAACTTCCAAACAGGACAATTAACCAGTGGAACAATTTGCCACCAGAAGTTGTGGGTGTTCTCCATCAGGAGGCTTTTAAGAAGAGTCTAGACCAGGGGTGTCAAACTGGCAACATCACATGACCTATTGGGACTTTTTTCCCTCTTTGCTAAACCGGGTGGGGCCAGGGCTACCAAGAGACGTATCTGGCCTATGGGCTGCGAGTTTGACACCCTTGATCTAGACAGTCACTTATCTGAAGTAGTATAGGTTCTCCTGCTTGAGCAGGGAGCTAGATTAGAAGACCTCCAAGGTCCCTTCCAGCTCATTCATTCTATTCTAATTTCAACAACCCCACGATTTGATTCTTAACCAGTCTATTTTAGTGCTGTGCTCATTGCATTAGTCTCAGTCCTTCCAAACGGCAACAGAGATGCTTAGATTTCGTCCATGAATCCTGGGCATCTCACTGGACAGAAGGGGAATCCTGGAGAAGAATAAGGCACAAAGCTGCAGGTGAGAAGTAGAAAAAACTTGTCCTTATTGGGCCAGTTAGCAGGAATGTCAGAGTTTGGGGTGAAGGGAGGTGTTTTGTCTCATAAAGGTAAAGATAAAGGTTCCCCTTGCACATCTGCGCTAGTCATTTCCGCCTCTAGGGGGCATTGCTCATCTCCATTTCAAGGCCGAAGAGCCAGTGCTGTCCGAAGACGTCTCTGTGGTCCCCTGGACAGCATGACTAAACACCAAAGGTGCATGGAGGAACGCTGTTCCCTTTCCACCAAAGTGGTCCCCATTTTTCTATGTGCATTTTTTTTTACATGCTTTCAAACTAGATTGGCAGAAGCTGGGACAAGTAACGGGAACTCCCGCAATTACGCAGCGCTAGGGATTCGAACTGCCGACCAATCGACAAGTTCAGTATCTTAGCCACTGGGCCACCGCGTCCCACTTTCGTCTCCGTACAGTGCTATAAAACTATGAAGTCTCTGGCTAACTGGCATGGACTGATTTTCTTATTTTTATTTTTTTGTCTTGCCTGGAAAAAAGGGGGTTTGTGTTGGGAATTTTTTTTAAGACATTCACCTTTTGTTGAGAATGGGCATGTGTCTCTCTATTGTGCTCCTGTTCCTCTTAGGATACGAGGTACTCCAGATTGGAGTTCCTTAAAGAAACACCCAAGCCACTTTTAGGATGGCTGACTAAATTATCTTGACCCAAGCTCTTTTTCTGGGTTCACTCTTCCACTGAAATCCATGTGTGATACTACCACAACCACGCAGTTGAGCCCAAAATTTCTGCTACAAAGTGGTCAGTTGTGAAGCTAGTTTTGCCCCCATTTTAAGACCTACCTTGCCACAGTTGTTAAATAAATCACTCCAGTGTTTAAATCGGTAACATGGTTGTTAAACCAATCTGGTTTTTCATTGACTTGTCAGGCGATCCCAAAAGGGGATCCCATGATGCCCCAGGACGCCGTAAATACAAGTCACCTGCCAAGCATCTGAATTTTGATGAGTTGACCATGGAGATGCTTGGTGTGAAAAATAGCCCTACGTCCCCTTTTTTTTTTTTTTCCCCCAAGGGCCGTTCTAACTTGGAACTGTCACTAAATGAGCCGCTGTAAGTCGAGGACGACCTATGATAAGCGGCTGAGGCTGCCTTTTACAAGTTTGCTACTTTAAGCCTGGTTAAGTTGGAGGGATTTTTGAAACCTGGTTTCTTAAACGGAGCCCATTGGCTCACTTCAGGACAACCTGCCTGAGCCGAGGCACCTGCGAGTAGCACCACGAAAAGGGGAAGTTTGAATCCGGATCGCTCCCAAACCGAATTAAGACAATCCAGCCCTTTCTGAGCCTAGCTTTGATGGCGCTGCGCGCCGGAAGGCTTTTCCCGACCGACCCCCCGACCCCCGCCCTTCGCCCACGTGGGAACCAAGTCCTCCCTTTTCCCACGGCTCCAATTACGAGCGGAGGCTTACATCGCGATCCGGGGGGGGGGGCGGGCCTTAGGGACCCCCACCCTATCCTCGCACCCGTCGGGGTGGGAAGGCGAGCGGCAGAATTGCGAGAAACGTCCGGGCAGGGAGGGGATGGGATCGGACCTAGGGTCTTCCAACTTGGCAAGTTTTAAGACTTGTGGACTTCAGCCCCCAGAGTTCCTGAGCTAACGTGACCGGAGGAGGAATTCTGGGAGTTGAAGTCCACAAGTCTTAAAAGCTGTCAAATTTGAAGACCTTTGAAAGCGGAGACGTCTTGGCCACTCGGAAGGATCTGCGCTCCCGATTGCTCCGCGCGGAGAGCCGAAAAGTCAGCTCCCGCCTTGCAGTCTGCCCGCCGTTTGTCTCGGGATCCCTACCCGGGAGAATTCCCGTCGCGGAGTAGGAGGTCCCGCTTCGTCGTTTCCGCGTACGAGGAATCGGTGGGCGCCGCTTCCGCAGCCTCCTTCCCCCCTTTTTTGCCGACTTTTAAAAAGCCGTGGACGGGCGATTTTGGCATTTCACGGCAGGAAAAATAAAACTTGTGTTTTACAGCCATTCCGAGCTAAAACGCCACCCCCCCCCGCCTTTCCTCTTTCGTCATCCTCCCCAGTTTGCAGAATACACCCATTCTGGACCTTTGGCAAACTTTCAGCTATCCTTTAAAAAGGTTCTCCAGCCGTGGCCAACTTTACGACTTGTGGACTACAACTCCCAGCTATGCTGTCTGAGGAATTCTGGGAATTCAAGTCTACGAGTACAGCTGGCTGAGGAATTCTGGGAGTTGAAGTCCACAAGTTGTAAAGTTGCCCATTATCGGAGACCCCTGCTTTAAAGGATGCTTCTTCACAAAGCCTCCAGGCTGTCTGTGTCATATTGTTAGTTCCCCCTCCCCCCCAGATCTGGGCTGAAAGGAGGAATCTGCTAGCTTGGATGGTGGTCCTCCTGGGTTATGCCGATTTAGATTTCTAAAGTCACCCCCCAAAGGCTTCCATGTCACTCAGGAATGACCAAAGGAGTCTGAAGGCCTCCTTCTTAACATGTTGCATTTAATGAAAAGCTATTCTCCTTGCTGGCTGGGGAATTCTGGGAATTGGAAGTCCCCTGCTTTCAAGCTGCCAAGATTGAGAAAACACTGGGTTAAAAGGAGATGGTTATGCAGTTATGCATTATTGCAACAAACCTCTTGCAACAAACAATTACAGATTTCAGCGTTGCCCTTTTAGAATTACAAGACCATGCGGGCGTTTTAAGCGCCAAGAGATTGCCAATCCCATCAAACTTTGAAAGATGGGCTTTTGACATATTACAACAAAGGTCTTCAAATTTGGCAATTTGTGGACTTCAACTCCCAGAATTCCTGAGATAACACGACTGGAGGAGGAATTCTGGGAGTTGAAGTCCACAAGTCTTCAAGCTGTCACGTTTGAAGACCCCTGTATTACAATTGCCGATGCAGTGTAGGTAAATTCTCTCACGTGTAACGTGCATCTCCCCACCCACCCTGCTTTCCTCGGTCTGTTCGCTTTAAACCCTCCATGCACCCGACGAAGTTAATTTCCTGCCGCTCCCCCCCGCCCAAGAAAAAAAGGTTCGTGCCATTAAATGGTTGGAAAATGATACAATTTCCAGGAAGTTCCAGTGACTTAAAGGAAAATTAGAATTGGGGTCTTATTCCACATTGACGGACGGCATTCAAATATTGAGTTGAATTATAAGTTTTGATTTTGATTTTATTTTTTAAAATAATAAAGACCTCCACGAATTTCTCTAAAACCTTAAAGACGGGAATAAACTTTTCCCGGAACGTTTGCGCGGCCGGTGAAATTGCCGGAGGGAAGTTGAAAGCCTTTCTCTCCTTACGTAGAGAAGTCCTACCAGGAGGCGGACGGCGCCTGCGCCATTGACGGAAGGAGGCATGGCTAGTGCCGGAAGTTGCGGCAGAGGGGAAACAACATGGCGCTGAGCGCGACAGGTAACGCGGGGGGGGGGCTGAGGCGTCGCCATGGCAATAGGTCTCCCGGCCCGGCGTCCAGCCCGAGGCTCGGCTAGAGGCGATGGACAGCGGGGAAGAACAGGGCTCGGGCTGCAGGCCCGGGCCTCGCCCCCACCGCGGCTTCCTCCTTTCCACTCCAGGTCACGACGACGCCGAGTGGGAGCCGCCTTCCGAGGCCGAGCTGAAGGTGATCCAGGCCCGGCGCGAGCGGCAGGACAAGATCAGCAAGCTGATGAGCGAGTACCTGCTGAAGGGCTACCGGATGTTGGGGGAGTGTTGCGACGAGTGCGGGGTGAGTGAGGCCTGCCCCGGGGCGTATGCAGAGTGCTTTCTTCCCCCGCCCCGTTCCCCTGGCCTGACGGTTACACGAAGAAAGTTGGAGGGGGGGAAAAGGGGGGCTTTTGCCCGAGGAAAGGGGGCAACTTGGTGATCAGACAAGACCAGAAACGAGAACAATCAGGCCAAAGGAGATGCCAGGCACTGATGACATGGCTCCTTGGTGAAGGCTGTCTTAATGCATGGGCCTGATGGGCACTTGTCCGTGGGCCCCACCAGCATAGGGGCCCCATGCTAATTTCTGCATGTCAACCCTTAAGTGCTCCTTATCATATAGATATACATATATTATGCAAATATATGTTGAATTTTATCAATCATTTACATTTTTATTCCTGTGAAGTAGTTGTCATACGGCCCCCAGTACACTGCCCGGGGCCCATAATGCTGTATGTTTCTTTCAGCTCTTCTCTAGGATGGCACCAATTGGAAATTGGTTGTGGGGGTGTCATTTGTGTTGGGCAGGCCCAGTACGAAAAAAGCAGTTTCCTTCAGCAAGGGTGGGTGGGTGGGTGGGCTTTCCTTGTCAGATGCATGCCCATCACTGGCAAGCAAACCCTGACTTCTACCCTTTTCTCCTCCCATGCCCCCCCCCCCCCCACCCCTTTGCCTTGGTCACCGAATTTTCTTCCAGACCATTTTGCTGCAAGACAAGCAGAAGAAGTTGTACTGTGTCACCTGCCAAGAGCTTAATTCTGATGTGGACAAGGACAATCCAGGTATGGTGGGCAGAGGGAGTGGGGAGCTGTTTCTCTTATTCACCTGCCCCGCTTGGTGCAATCTGGTCCTCTCAGTATATATTGCCCAGTTACAAAAAGAGATGATGGGAACTGTTCTGTGCTTCTGCCAGCACCAAATGGGAACAGCCTGTGTGGGTATCACAGTGTAAATGGGATTTTCCAACTTTTAATACATTGCTTCCGTAAATTATAAACTCTGAAATGTAGTTCAACTGCAAAAGGAGCTATTGGGTGGAAGTTTTGTGCAGTTGCTGCTTCAGATAAAATTTTGCGCTTCTCTTGACAACAGAAGTAGTCTTGTATTTGTGCTGCTTTCTTTGCAAGTGGGGAAGAGATCCCCTTTGCTGTGGTTGGAAGCATCTCAAGTGTTAAATTGCTGCCAGAGAATTTGGACAGATTTTTCCATGTCGTACAAAAAGATCCCTGGACTTTAGCAACTGTCCTAGACAGTGCTTGTTGGTGAAACCGGAAGCAACAGCCCGTGATCCCATCTCTTTGATCTCTTTCTCTCTCTCTCCCTCTAGCACTCAATGCACAAGCCGCCCTTTCCCAGGTGCGGGAGCGACAGCTTGCTGCCAACACTGATGAAATGGCGTCGCGCCCAGAGCATTGCGAAGGGGCAGCCTTGGGTCTCCGGTCAAACGCACCTGACCCAGCCCTTCCAGCATCCACTGCTGCACCCAATGCTCCATTGGCACGCAACACCCTGGCTGCGGCAGAAGAGATCATTCTGCAGAAGATCGGCTGGGCAAGCCATCATCTCCAAGAAACCACCTCTGTTGAAAGGAGCATCCAGTTTTGTTCACTCATCTGTTCTTGCACGGAGGCTCTCAAGGGCATTAGGGAGCTGCCACAGTGAGGATGCCCCAGCTTGTAATGGCAGTGCCAGGCCTGGCATGGAGTGTAGGCCATGCCTGGGGTGCCAGAGGAATCCTCTCCTCCACACCGTTTATCATAGGGGCTGGGTGATTTAATTAAGACTGGGCTCTCCCTTCTGATTAAAATGTGAACTTTTTTTTTTTTTTTTGCCTCATACAAGTTGTCCTGACGTTTGAGGAATGTTTCAGAGGATTTGCACGTATAAATCTGTCTAATCCGGGAGAAGGAAAGGATAGATAAACCAGAGTTAAAACTGGTTTGCTAGCAACATTTTAGGCACCAAATTTTGGGGCTCCTGCAGATTCTTCAGCCTAGATCCGCTCACCATCCCGCTTACCATCCAAAGATTTCAGGTTATCAGGAACTCCCATGTGTTGTCATTTTTTTTGTGAAGCATTAAACGTTTCAAATTTCAAGGCACAAGATAATGGTTGTGTTGTGTCGAATCTTCGCTGGTTGTGAAGGAATCGGGCTTGGCATGCAATTTTTGCCCCTATGGTGTGTCAGGGGCCACCTGTCTTCAAACTTTGAAACTTTAATAACCAATACTTGAAAAAAGAAGCTGTAAGCTAAGAAATGGCAGCTTTCTCCTCTTAGACATCTTAGACATTTTAGTAAATAAAATTAAATCAACCCGGTGGATGCCTTGTTGGACTATCTGCCTTTGATGACAAGTGACACTTGAAATTGGTCAGATACGGTGAATACAGGTAAATCCTTGACTTAACCGCAGTTGAGCCTGCAATTTTGGTCATTAATCTTGACAGTCGTAAAGCAGATCACTATGTGGCTGCACCCAATTTTATGACCTGTTTTTGTTTTGCTATGGGAGATTTTTTCCCCCAAGAAGCCAGAAGCAAATTTTCCAGAAGGAAAATGCTGAAAATTATGGTCATGTGACCATGGGATACTTCAAACGGTCATAAATGTGAGCTAGCTACCCAGTGCCCCAAATGCAGTCCCATGACCATTGGAGCCCATTCAAATCCGCATTGTAAGTCTCTCTCTTATTGTAACTTTAGAGTTAAGTGGCTGGTCATAAATCAAGTTCTACTTATAGGAATATTCCTATGTGCAAGAATGTGTGGATTCCCTTCTGCCTGGTTTTACATAACTGTAACAAGCTCCAGAAGGACCAGCCTTCTTCAAAAAACAGCCAAGTGTAGGAATGCAGTTTGCTGGTTCTCTCTCCAAATAGGTTAAACCTTTTGTGTGGCTGCTTCTATTATGTGGCGCAGGGTCGCACACATGGAAGGCAAAGAGTACAGTTGGCTGCCCATCTTCGAAAACTGCAGGGATGGGAGAAACAAACAAATCAACAAGTTTTTGTGATCCAAAGGATAAACGGAAAGTGGCCGGGCAAGCAGGGAGAATCTGCCCTTACCGTGACCCTCTGAAGGGATGCAGTTCAGACATGAGACTTTTGCTCCAAAACGAGCGCAGAGCAAGGCCACAATAGTAGGGTTTCTCCTGTGGACTGCTTTGAAATGGTGGTTCTGCGGCAGTTCTGGATTTCCTGGCTAGGGGGCAGCAAATATTCACGGCACCCATTAAGTGTAATCTTTAAATGGCTTTAGGCTGCTTGGCATGGATCAAGAGTCCTTCAAAGGATCTTCACACCACAGCCGTGGCTGGGAAGCTCTTCTGGCTGTTTCTGGTCTGCCCAGACGCCGCTCTTCGGATGGACTCTTTCCTCCAAACACCAGGAAAGAGGGCGACCCCTCCTTCCAGAAAGTGGATCCACCAGTTTGAGCCCACCAGAGACTGGACATGGTCCATTTTTTGCCCCTTCAGCAGACAGACCAAAATAGGTGAAGTCTGGCATTTATCCCCCTTGGCCACACCGGATCCAGGCTCTATTGGCACAACATGCTAATAATCTTTCTGAGTTCTGACAAAGCAACTGAGTTAAACAATAGGCAGCATCATGTTAACTGGTGCAATGCCCAAATTATGAAAGAAAAAGAAAGAAATTAGGAGGAGGGAGAAAGAGGGGGAGGGACAGAAGGACGGCAAAGAGAAAGGGAAGGAAGGAAAGAAAGAGAGGTAAAGAAATAGGGAGAGAGGGAAGGGAAGGAGCAAGGAAGTAATGAAGGAAGAAGCTAGAAATAGGGAAGGAAGGTCAGATGGAAAGAGATCAGGAAGAAAAGAAAGGGAGGGAGGGGGTTAAAGAAATAGGATGGAAAAGGGAGGGAAGGAGGAAGGGAAGGGAAAGAGGAAGGAAGGACAGAAGGGAGAAGCTAGAGATAGGGAAGGAAAGTCAGGTGGAAAGAAAGATCAGGGAGGAATAGAGGTAGCGAAGGGAGGAAGGAAAAAGACGGGAGAAAGGAAGGGGTAGAGGGGAAGGAAGGAAAGAAAGAAAAGAGGAAGGAGGGAAGCATAAGAGAAGCAATATCTACCCGCAAGTCTGCCTCGTCGATCCGGCTCTTCGCAGGAGGGAATGGTGCCTGGGGCTCAGCACAGCCGGGGGCCACTTTGCGGGGTCCCCCGAGGGTCGCTGAGCGGAGCGGCTCCTGCCCCGCCGAGCCAGAGGCCGCGCTGCCTCCCGGGCCGCCCGGCGGGGTCCCTTTAAGCGGCGGCAGCGGCGGCGTCCTTGCGCGCACTGCCGGGCGGCCGATCCGCAGCGTCCTTGCGCGCAGCGGCAGACAAAGGCCGGCGTGCAGCCGAGCGGGCGCTGCAGCCGCGAGGTCCGCGGTGCCTCTGAGCATAGGCCGAGTGCCCCCATGGCCCGCGGGGGCGTCCGGCTGCCGCCGCCGCCGCCTCTCCTTCCCTCGGCGGGGCCATGAGCGTCTCTCCCCCGGAGCCCCCGGCCGGCCAGGCCTGCGCCCTGGAAGGGCTGCCCCCGCTGCCCAAAGGGCTGAGCGGCATCCTCAACTCCAGCGGCGGCTCGTGGCGCGAGATCCAGAAGGTCTACAGCAAGAAGTCGCGCATCCAGGACGACCTGCGCCAAGCCCAGGCAGCCCCCGGGGAGAAGCCGCCGGCCCCGCGGCCCCGCCGGCCCGCCAACCTGGATGCCGCGCTGGCCGTGCTGCGCAAAGAGATGGTGAGCAATGCCCCGGGAGGGAGGCGGGGGAGGGGGCGGGAGAGAATCCCCGGAGCCTCGGGTGGCTTTTGCCCTCCAAACCAGGCTCCACGCTCCCTCTACGGGGGTCCTTGGGATGCGCATCTGCCGATCTCTCTTTGGGGAGTCCCGACCCCCATCCCACCTGAGCCCACCTTGCAGCGGGGGTTGTCAGGAAAGACCTCCTCCCACCTGACTCACCTCCCACCCCACCGACCTAGTGTAATCTATTAGATTAACAGAGTCGGAAGGAACCTTGGAGGTCATCTAGTCCAACCCCCTCCCCCCCCCCCAGCAGGAGACCCCACCTACCCCATTTCTGACAAATAGGCAGTCCAGTCCCTTCTTGGAAAGCCTCCAAGGATGAAGCTCCCCTCCCCCACTTCCATTTGATCCATTCATTACATTTCCACACACTTCCCGTCCTACCCAAAGCGACCCTAAATTTCCTGCCACCCCGTTTTCTTCCCCGTGGGGACAAAAGCACCCCTTTCCCCACGGCTCACCCAGGTGCGAAAGCAGAAACTTTTTTTAAAAAGCGCCTAGCAACGAACGGAGAGGCTTCTGCAGGAGAAGCTGGGCTGCTTTGAACCCGGATCAGCACGAGTTGGAAGCGGGATGCTTCCCCCAAAACAAGAGAAGGCGGGTTGTGGAAACCTGGTCGATGGAGGCATGAGAGTGGGGCCCTCAAGGGCAGGTGTGTTCTTCCTCAACCTCTTGGTTGCACCAAAGGTCATGAAAACTGCAGGTCTAAAATTAGCCACTTGCATCACGCCAAGGGCTAAATTTGAGGCAGTGAGGCTGTCTTTGTTTATTTGATGTTATTTCTTGTTTGTTTCTCACCTTTATTATTTTTACAAATAACTCAAGGCTGCAAACAACTCCAACACACCTTCCTCCTTCCTTATTTTGCCCACAACAACAACCTTGTGAGGTGGGTTGGACAGAGAGAAGGGGACTGACCCAAAGTCACCCAACCAGTTTTCATATCTAAGGCAAAACTAGAATTCACCATCTCCTGGTGATTGGCCCAAAGTCACCCAGCTGGCTTTCCTGCCTAAGGCAGGACTAGAACTAACTGTCTCCTGGTGATTGGCTCAAAGTCACTCAGCCAGCTTTCGTGCCTAAGGCAGGACTAGAACTCACCGTCTCCTGGTGATTGGCCCAAAGTCACCCAGCTGGCTTTCAGGACTAAGGTGGGATCGGAACTCACAATCTCCTGGTGATCGACCCAAAGTCACCCAACTGGCTTTCATGCTTAAGGCAGGACTAGAACTCACAGCCTCCTGGTGATTGGTCCAAAGTCAACCAATTGGCTTTCAGGGCTAAGGCGGGACTAGAACTCACAATCTCCTGGTGATTGTTCCCAAAGTCACCCAGCCGGATTTTGTGCCTAAGGAGAGACTAGAACTCACTGTCACCTGGTGATTGGCCCAAAGTCACCCAACTGGCTTTCAGGACTAAAGTAGAACTAGAATTCACCGTCTCCTGGTTTCTTGCCTGATGCCTCAACCACTGGACCACATAGGATGGGTGTACTTCCTGGGCTTAATCGCACAATGGCTCTGCAAGTTAGGCGAGGAAGAGCAGGGGAGCTGAATAGGAACCTCATCCTCCCTGGGTGGGTCCCATGGTTGGTGACTTAAGGGCAGGGGGTGGGCCCGATCAGCCCCCATCAATGCACAAAGACCTTTTAAATCAGCCAAATAATAACCATTACCATTCATTTGAGGAAGGGGCATGCTTGCCAGGCCATCAGTGCCCATAAGATTGAACGTCTGCATTCCTATTAGTAAATATTAGTGTTTAAATAGATAGCATCTCAAATCAAGATTTTGTTAACATTATTTTTTTTTTCAAAAAATGTATTATTATTTTTTTTTAAAAACATACAAACCAAACACAAAACATGAAAACAGAAAACATCTTTTTTGAAAGCAGCTTGATCCCGGGTTACATCTCTTCCTACAGACATAAATTCAAGTTCATGCTCACTTTTATATACCATTCCATATCTTATTACAATTCTACATTTTCTATATAGCTTCTCCCCTCTTTTCACTCTCTTAATTCTGTTTTACTTATTTCAGCTCAATTTAAATCATTATACTTATATCCTTTGTCTGTCCTGTTTCAACTGTCTATTATCTTTTCTCATTAACACAAAATTTCTCCTGTAATCACTGATTGGAGTATGACGCCTTTATATCTTTCCCCTAAATTTAACACTTAATATAATATATAACTTTCATTTGGATTCTGCTTAGTACATTCTAAAGCTATACACTATATTTTAAGAAAAGAAAAAAATTATAAATATATAATATAATTAAAACAACAATTCATACCAATTGAACTCTATTGTTAAAATTAATATTCATTTAAATCTTAAACATTTTACACATTCCTTTTCAAATAGGTATCATGCTTCTATGGGAACCCTTATAAATTTTGCGTAGTTACTTCCCCCCCATTTCACTTATATTTTAAAACATTATGTAATTAAAATGTTCCCATTCCTTCTTAATTCAATTCTCTCATATTTCATTTCATTAATTTTGTTCAAAAAAGAAAAAGTTTCACTAAAATATTTTATCTAAAATATTTTTATTTAAAATATTTTGAATATTTTATCCCATTTTGTAATCATATGTTGTTCCAATTTTCTAACATTATTTCGAATACAACAATACAGTCTTATATACCTTCGCAGAATCTCTTTTTCAGTTATATTTTTACCCATTATCTCTAAATAAATTAATTAATTACCTGCTGATGCCAAAGTGGGTTTTTCCGATTTCTCATTCATCTGCTGTCACTGTAAGGAAGGAGAGTGAGAAAAAACAAACTTTCCCTTTTCACTTTCATTCTCTGCTTCCGGATCTTCCTTGGGAATGATGAATCTTTTTTAAAGTTTAAATTCCAGGATATCTTGAATGTTGCTTCTTATCCCGGTCAGCCAAAACTTTCACTACTTAGCTTTCTCCTGCATATTCTTTTCTGCCTGAGTGCTTCTTTGAGGCGGTCATTTCTGACCGCAGCTCTACCGCCTTCAGAAAAGGGAGTTAAGCCAGCTGAGGAGGGGAGGTGCGGCTCACCTCAAAACCCTGCCGGGTCTCCCCTGTCTTCAGCCACCTCTACGGGGTGGTTTTAGCCCCGAAGCTGGCTGGCTTGGGGCACTCCAGCAGCGAGCGCAAGCAGAAACCACGCACGATCACGGATTCCTGCTGCCGCCAAAGCCCAGCAAACCGGAAAAGTTCTCAAGATTTTGTTAACATTATTAACTCCCTTGGTGCTTTGTGTGTTTGCATAAGTCTGCTTGAGCAAGGGGCTGGACTAGAAAACCTCCAAGACCCCCTTCCAACTCTGTTATTCTGTTAAATAGACAGAGCTGTGTTTCAAAGGGAAGTTCAGATGTTCAAGAAACCTAGATAGAGAGTTTAGAGAATAGAAAGAAACCATCATTGTTTTCGACATGCACTCCCCCACCCCCCCCAAAAAAAAAAAGAAATCAGAGTGGCCAACCAGAGTCACTATCAGAGGATGGGCAGCATATAAATAAAAATAAAATAAACATGACTGACTTAACAATAGGGTGGCTGTGTTCCCACAACCAACCTGTCTTGCCTGAAACGAGGTCAGGACATTGATGTGCAAGGGAATGGGGAGGATCCAATCTAGGCCACTGTGATAAACCAGCATGTGGGTGACCTCTCATTGAGCCTAACATTCTGCAAAAACAGCCGTCGAGTTTTGATAAACCCGAGTGTAATAGTTTATTGTGTGAATCCAGTCATTTTCGACGTACAGCACTTGGGCTTTTTTGGAACTGCAACTGTGGGAGGCAGAAGGATAAATTTTAAAAAGGGGATATGACATCATCAAATTTATGGGAGGCTTCAACTTATTTAATTTATTAATCACATTTGTATGATTGCAACTGCAAAGAAACAATTTAATATTCCATGTAGGTCATTGGAGGTCATGTAGTCCAACCCCCTATTCAAGCAGGAGACCCTATACCCATGATGGCAAACCTATGGCATGCATGCCACAGGTGGCACACAGAGCCATTTGTGCCGGCATGCAAGCTGCAGGCAAACTTACGTCACTGGTCATGTGCCGCCTCACAGCTGATTTTTGGGCGGTTTGAGGCCTTTTTTCGGCCTCCCAATGGCTTGAGGAAGGCTTCTGCAGGCTTCTGCAAGCTTTGCAGGCTGAAAATTAGCCCAGTTTCATCACTTCTGGTATTTTTGGAAAAACAGGAAGTGATGAAACGGACGTAGTTTTCAGCCTACAAAGCTTGCAGAAGCCTTCCTCAAGTCTTTGGGAGGCCGAAAAAGGCCTCAAACTGGCCCAAAATCAGTTGTGAGGCGCAGTGCAGGTAAGGGGGAGGTGGGTGGGTGGGTGGATTGGGCGTGCATGCATAGGGGGCGGTGGGGGGTGCATGCACATTGCCTTCTGGGTGCTGACATGCACAATTTTTGGCACGGGAGCCCCAAAAGGTTAGCCACCACTGCCCTATCCCATTCCACACAAATAATTGTCCTGTTTCTTCTTAAAAAACCTGCAGTGATGGAGCAACCACAACTTCTGGAGGGAAGTGTTTGCAAGGGTTAATTGTTCTCACTGCCACGCAACACTGCTTTAAATAAACAACACTGTCAAGGTTATATTAAAAAGACAGGATGCATGTTTAATAAAAGCCTTTAGAAGCAACCAGAAATGGAAAAGCAGGAAAGATAAAATTAATTCTGCAATTTCTTTTTTTTGCAAGAATTGAGAGCTATCTGTCTGGAATTGGATCCAGGCAGAAATGAAAGGATGGGATGTTTGCAAAAGTGGCATTTGCCGCTTCCCTGCAAAAAAATTGTGGTTTTTTTTTTCAAATAATTGGTAATTGGAATTTCACTTTCATCCCAAGCAATGAAATTAGATAGGGGAGAAAAAATGACAAAGATAGATAGATAGATAGATAGATAGATAGATAGATAGATAGATAGATAGACAGACAGACAGATCTTTCTGTTCAACAGTGTGTCGGTTGGGTACATATATTTTTGTGCACATAGTAACATTATCATACATATCTTACTTATTTATGTTTATAATCATTCTAGTCAATACAGTCACGACTGAGTTAGATAGAGTAAGAAAATGAATGTGAAATATACCCTTGAAAGACAGTAACTCCAATGTTAAGGATAATATAATAATTGATACATGTGATATAAAAAAATGACAGTTCTTAACACCTTGTGCTCAAAGTTTGTACAGTACAAGATTTTTCCACCAGAGGGTAGCAAAGTTCCATAGAATCAATTTAAAAGTTTTGTGGGTTTCAGAGCTGGGGGCCATTTGGCTGATTTTATTCTAAACCAAGAGCGTCTCTAACCTTGGCAACTTTGAGACTTGTGGATTTCAACTCCCAGAATTCCCCAGCCAGTCATTTTGTTCCATTAGCTGTTGACAAAAACCACATTCAGCTTTATACCCCTTGGTTGTTTAGTTTTTGTTTATTTACGTGTTTATTTATGGGACGAAGTCCACCTCTCTTAAAGCTTATTGGCTGGGGAATTCTGGGAATTGAAGTCCACCCATCTCAAAGCATGCTGCCTGGGGAATTCTGGGAGTTTTAATTTAGATATCTCAAAGCATGCTGGCTGGGGAATTCTGGGAATCAAAGTCCATCCGTCTTTAAGCTGTCAAACATTGGAAAATACTAGAAGCTGCAGTTCTTAATGGAGGCAGCCCTTTCCATCTAACTGGCCAGGGATTCAAATCCTGACAGCTCCACAGTTCAACCGTCTGCTTTCCTTCCCTGCTGCAGGTGGGTCTCCGACAACTGGACATGTCTCTTCTTTGCCAGCTCTGGTCTCTGTACGAGTCCATCCAGGAGTTCAAAAGCCTCTTCCAGGACATGTCATCCTCGCTCCACTCAGAAGGCAGCCTGGCTGCCGAAAACGGCTTCTCGGACGAGGAGGAAGATTTTGACCTGGAACCGTTAAGTCCAGATGGGCCGCGGGAACCCCCTCCGGCCCACCAGCAGCTGCGCTTCCTTCAGCCCCAAAACTCCCGGGATCAGTGGCTTAAGGACTCTTTCCATATTGCGATCTGAGCCAGGCTTGGCCAAACGACATCCGGGAAAGGCCAGCTGGAATGTCAGCATTGGAATAAGGCATCGTGGTTTGTTTCTGGAGCAACCCAGCCTGTTTTCAGCTTTCCACCTAGTTCCTGGGCCTTTTTCCCCCCCGATCGTGTTTCTCCCTCGAGAAATCGACATGATTTCTTTGGCCTTTCCAGAAAGAGATGATTTGCAGAGGGGCAAAATGCAGGGATGTGCTTTGGAGTGGAGAGTCCCAATTGCAACACGAGGGATCCCGTGTTGAGATTCTTTGGGACTGTCTTCGAAAGAGCATTGGGAAAGACGCAAGAAGGGTCGAAATTAACCGGAAATTAATCGCTTGAATTTCCTGAAAAATGCCTCTCCACATCTTCCAGCTTGTCTCCTCCACCCCCACCCCGTAAAGATCTGGTATCTTTTTTCCTCCAACTCAGGGCCCCTACCAACTTCCGGAATTTTCAGCCTACGTGAAGGACAAGACCACCGTCTGGAATTGGGGCTGGGTTTGGAGAAATGGCCCTGAAAATTGAAATGGAAATGCGTTTTATTTATTCGGTCAAGGGTCAGCAACGCCGACCTGAAAGATTTTGTGAAGATTTTTCCTGGGAGGGGGAAAAAAAGAGGATCGCTTGGGCTCTTCTTCAGAATGCAGGTCTCTCCTGGGTAAAAATTGGACTTTATCAAATTTACTTGTCCTTGCGTGGAGATGCGAGTCACCTCTGAAGCTCTTTTGATATTTGGAGGATAGGAAAGGCTTGGCTGCATCTCTGAAGGATTCTGGCCCTTCCCTTGCCTCTTTCTTCTTCCCCACTGCCAGGTTTCCTGTGGCTGAATGAAATTTGGGATACTGATCCCGTTTTCTTCTCTGTGGTACTAACAGCACCCCTAAAAGGGAGTAAGAACTGCCACCCAGTGGCCGAGACTTTTCCTTGTCCAAAGACTTGGGTTGAATACGTTCCAATCTACCTAATTAGAATCATGAGGACTATGAACTTAATTTTTTCTTTTTTTTTTGGAACAGGGGATGGCCAGTCCAGCTTGCATACTGAGGATCCAAGCTTTGGGCAAGGACCCTGAACATAAAATTCTAGAGACTTCTATTGCAAATGTATTATTTTATTTTATTATTTTTTTGCAGTGGAAATTTGCAAGGAAGGGATGACCAGGTCAGAAATAGAGGGGGGTGGGGGGAACTCTTCTGGATGCACCTTCATTTTGCTTCTGGCATGTTGCTGCTGAAAGTCTTTAGCATAAACAATAGAATAGGGGGCCTGGGAGGTATGAATTGCCCCCACCCCGTGGATTTTATTTAGCTTTGATTTAGCATGCCATCGATCTAAGCTCTGATTGAAGGCTTAGGATAAGACATGTGGTGTGGTTTATTCGACAAAGGGGGGCTTTGCACAAATGTGTAAACCTGCCCCAGGTAAGCCAGCCAAACAGGTTTTTGCATGATACGTGTTAGTTTCCTTCGTGGGGGCTGATGCACCCCACTTTCTCCTCCTCGACTGCACACAGAAGAAATAGTTAGTTAGGAATGTGCTATATACAATATTTTGAGATTATTATTTTTTAAATCTGGCCATATTGCCTTGGCTGGATTTTATGACTGTCCTACTGCTCTAGCCATGTTACCTTGGCTAAATATTTAATTGCCTACTGTTTTCTAAGAATATTATTATAATTTGGGGTTTTTTAGAGGCTTGAAATAAACCTGAGAGCATTGGGGAAGAGGATAATGGTTTGCCAAATGTTTGCTTCTCCTCCTTCCCATCTTTTGAAGGCAGAAGACAAAGTTGGATGGTTCATGAATATTTCAGAAAGCTGGACAGGCCATTTTTCTCCCCACCATCCATCAGGGCAGCGAAAGAGGGAGGTGCAAGAAATAAAGAGGGAGGTGTGAGAAATAAAGTGACCATCTCTTGAAGGCTGGCGTGTGATCCATTCCAAGCTGCAAGTTCAGAGCTTGCAAAGTGACAGGAATCTCAACAGAAAGTAAGGATTGGAAAGGACGTTGCTGTGACCTGGATCTCATTTAAAAATCAGGCTGAATTTCTGGAGGGTAAAAATCTGTACAACAGTGAACCAATCTATCTCCAGGGGTTGTGGCTTCTTCAAGATAAAAAAGATTCAGATTAACAGAGTTGGAAGGGACCTTGTAGGTCATCTAGTCCAACCCCCTGCCCAAGCAGGAGACCCTACACCATTTCTGACAGATGGCAGTCCAGTCTTTTCTTGAAAGCCTCCAGAGATGAAGCTCCCACAACTTCTGAAGGCAACTTCTGTTCCATTAATTAATTGTTCTCACTGTCAGAAAGTTTCTCCTTATTTCCAGGTTGAATCTCTCCTTGTTCAGTTTCCATCCATTCTTCCTTGTCTGGCCTTCAGGAGCTTTGGAAAATAGCTTGACCCCCTTCCTCCTGTCTGTGGCAGCCCCTCAAATATTGGAAGATGCTCTCCTGTCTCCCCTGGTCCTTCCCTAGACCAGCCATGCCCAGTTCCTGCAACCATCCATCGTATGTTTCAGCCTCCAGTCCCTTAATCCCCTTGGTTGCTCTTCTTTTCTCTGTATTTTTTTCTAGAGTCTCAGTATCTTTTGTATGGTGTGGTAATCAAAACTGGATGCAGTATTCTAGGTGTGGTCTTATTAAGACTTTATAGAATGGTATTAGTACAATCTTGATTATAAATGCAATTTAGGATTACATTAGCTTTTTTGGCTGCTGGCACATATTTAGCTGGTTGTCCCCTAAGACTCCAAGATCCCTCTCACAGTTACTGCTATTGAGACTGGTTTCACCCAGTCTATATCTGTACTTTTGGTTTTTCTTGCCTAAGTGTAAGACTTGACTTTTCTCTACGTTGAATTTCACTTTGTTAATTAGGGGCCAGTGTTCAACTCTGTCAAGATCCATCTGGATCTTGAGAGCCTATTTTTTCCTGCCAGTTTCGTATCATCTGCAAATTTGGTAAGTTCCCCTTTTAAACAGCTGGACTGTCAAGATTCAGGGGCGGCAAATTGGTTTTCTCAAGAGCTGATTTCACGTTTATTTTAATCCTGATCCATCCCTTGCTTTTCAGGAGTGGGAAAGACCAGCTGTGACCTGGAAATCTACTCTGCGCATGCTCAGAGGTGCTGTTTTACATTCTCCATTTTCGTTTTTAACCCCAGCCAACTGAGACTCTTAAGAAGCCCCAGTTTGGTCGAACTTCTACCTCCTTGTCCCAGTTCATGTTTTTTTCCACCTCTGAAGCACACAAACCTCATCCTCTAGACACGCCTGGGCCATTGTTTGTGACTTCCTGTTGTGTTTGAAGTCCACTGGCGTTGCACAGGACAACCACAATGGGACTTGGGCTGGACAAGATCTGGGTTTCTCCAAGTTGGAAACTCAAAGAGGGGATGAACTTCAACTCCCAGAATTCCCCAGCCAGTCAGTATGCAATTCTGGGAGTTGAAGTCCACACATCTTAAAAAGTTGCTCACCCACAAAGCAACACTCCTCCAGTTACAGATGGTCCTCGAACTTACGACCACAATGGAGCCCAATGTTTATGTTACTAAGCAAGATAGTTGTTAAGTGAATTTTGCCCCATTTTACAACTTCCTTTAAGGGAATCGCTGCAGAGGTTAAGTAAGTCACAGGGTCATCTTAGATCTTTGATAGAGTTGGAAGGGACCTTGTGGGTCATCTAGTCCAACCCCCCGCCCAAGCAGGAGACCCTACACCATTTAAATGAATCTGGCTTCTCCATTGGCTTTGCTTGTCAGAAGGTCGCAAAAGGGGATCGTGTGACCCCGGGATGCTGCAACTGTTGTAAATAAGAGTCAGTTGCCAAGCATCTGAATTTTGATCACATGGCCACAAGGATGCCGCAATGGTCATTAAGTGTGAAAAAGCGGTCCTATGTCCCTTTTTCCCCGTGTTGATATAACTTTAAATGGCCATTGCACGAATGGTTGTAACTCAAGGACGATCTGTACTCAACTCATGAGGCCTTCATGAATAAGAGGGACACAAAGGAATCCTTGATTTACCTCTGGTTACTTAGGGCCTTCCACAAATGAGGTGGAAAAATTCGGTTGGTTGTGTGGGTGACTCATTTTACGGCTGTCATAACTTAATGACCCCACTGGGCAGGCTCCCTTACAGTCCTAATTTGAAAATACTTTTTTTCCAGCATTTGCGGTGTGTGTGTATGTGTGTGTGTGTATGTATGTATGTATGTATGTATGTATGTATGTAAGCCTGATGATGGCAGATGAGATTCTGCTGAAACGTCGCTACAACTTTAAAAGCACAACTACAATGATGTGGGAAAATACCCGAACAAAGCTGAATGCCATATATATATATGCATGCATATATACATGCATGCATGCATACATACATATACATATACATATACATACATACATACATACATACATACATATATATATATATATATATATATATATGAATCTTCGTCTGTTCGGGTTTTCTCCCGCGTAAGATTCGAAGTATCTAGGCAACGTTTCGATGAAGTCTCATTCATCATCTTCAGGCTTCTGCCTCCGGCTCTGTGCCTCTCAGAGTAATGGAGATTGCAGCTGCTTCCTCCTTTTAACTGCCAGTGGGGGTGGGACTTGATTGGGTGGGGGCTTGGCTGTGTTCTGATTGGGTGGGGGTGTGTTCTCATTGGTAGGGGGTTTGGCTGTGTTCTGATTGGTTGGGGGGTTAGCCGTGTTCTGATTGGTTGGAGGCGTGTTCTGTTCAGGTGGGGGCTTGGTTGTGCTCAGGTTAGTCTTAGTTGCTGGGGGATTTGAGCTGGAGAGTTGTGATCTTGCTGTTTGGCTTCTAGTTTGTGGTCCTGCTGCATCTTCATTGTGGGTGTCGGTTTGCTTCATGTATGGCTCAAATATATATACCAACTAAGTTTCTTAAGTTTTCGCGGGTACTTACATGTATGGCATTCAGCTTTGTTCGGGTATTTTCCCACGTCATTGGTCATTGTAGTTGTGCTTTTAAAGTTGTAGCAATGTTTCGGCAGAATCTCATCTGCCATCATCAGGCTTCTGTATAATGTTCATCTGTGAGTCAGGCTTTTAAATTTAAATCTGTGGTTTCAGATTTTCAATTTAAATCTGAAACCACTGTAAAAGCCTGACTCACAGATGAACACTATACAGAAGCCTGATGGCAGATGAGATTCTGCCGAAACATTGCTACAACTTTAAAAGCACAACTACAATGATGTGGGAAAATACCCGAACAAAGCTGAATGCCATATATATATATACATACATACATACATACATACATACATACATATATATATATGGGTTGAACCTGGCTAAGACTGGGAAGAAAGTGTGTGTGTGTGTGTATTTATTCCCAGACTGGCCTCAAATGTTGGAATTACTTGTTGTACCCCATCCAAATATTAGCCAGGTTCAAACCCTGATGCTAACAACTAGAGTTCCTCTAAGAAACCAACTAAATCCTGGTTCCCCTGCACAAATCTTTGCCTGATGCCCTATTTTAGCCCAGAGTAGGGGATGCATTTACCCAGAAAACAAAACACCCCAAAATATGGACAACACAGAGATGGTGTGTAACCATGGCTACATTATGACCTGTGAACTCGACTTCAACATGGCTGCCTCAGGAATTCTGGGAGTTGAAGTCCGCAGGTGGTAAAGATGCCAAAATTGCCCACCCCTGACCAAGAACCTTCCCACCCCCCACCCCTCTGGGTCATCTTAGATCTTAGATAGATGAACAGAGTTGGAAGGGATCTTGTAGGTCATCTAGTCCACCCCCCACCCTGCCCAAGCAGGAGACCCTACACCATTTCTGCCCATCCTTCTCATCCTGGTGCTCTGCAACTCTTGGTGAGTGGAGGATGATGGGGGATGTAGTCCAATCTTCAGAGGGCTCCTAGTTGGGGAAAGGTAGCCATGGAGAATTTCAGTTTGTTTTTAATGGAGGGAACTGGAAAATAGTCCCATTTCTCTCTCAACCTGCCAAACCAGGACGAAAAATTTCGCTGTCATCTCGGAGAAAAAGCAACATTTCTCAGGAGCAGCTTCAAGCCACCACACCCATCCGAGAGAATTCTACATTCGGTTTTGGCTTCCTGGTTTTCTTTTTCTTTCTCTTCTTTTTTCACAGGGG